TATCTATTAATGCGGAAAACAGCTTATTTGGGCATATAACTATTAAAAATAAAATTTATATTATAATTACCAAAAATTACGATTTTTAACATAATTTTACTGCAAGTAATTTTCAGATTGAAAATGACGGTAATTTTCCATCTCTACCTCTGACTATTTCATCTATTTTGCAATCATTTATTGTACAAATTTATAATTATATACATATTCAGAATGCTTTTGAATTTGTTATAGGTTGTCATTGCAGTTTTTACGAACGATGCCTGGAAGGTGAGGAACGCCCGCTCCGTTCTTCAGAGACAACGTAGAGACACAGTGAGTTATCCACATTATTATCTTATATAAACGTTTCACAATCTATTCTTTCTGTTTCAAACAGAATTATTTAAAAAAATTTTAAGAAAATTGATGGAAGAAAGAATTATATAATTGAAAAATTAAAGAATATGATAATTGTATTAATATTTGCATTATGACAATTATATTAATTTACGGTATACAATAGAATTAAATTGGATATCTCTATTTAAGTCAAACTTAACACTTGATCATCTCATTGTTTATTGTATAGTTCTTTGGAGACAAATCTTTGCTGTTATTTTATTGAAATGATAAAAGGAAAGAAAAAAAAATACATTGTGTGAAATATGAAAAAAGGGGAAAAATGTGATTATTAAAATTCACCGTTTATTTATTTATTTTTTATTGAAGTTAATATAAAAAGAATAATTTTATATTATTTATTATCTTATTTTATTTACTTTTATTTTGCGATACTGACAATACAGAATATATTTAATACAATATATGAAATATATGATATAGTTAATTTTGCAATTGATTTTTGGTATCATACTTTTTATCTAAACGCTAATTAATTGAAATTATCTTTCCATGTCGGAATATAATAGAAAAGAGGAAAAAGATCGTAAAACATCGATTTAAGCGCAATATTTAATTATTAACAATATTAACAATCTTTAATATTTTTATTACAATTATTCAAACAGAATTATTTAAAAAAATATTAAGAAAATTGATTGAAGAAAGAAATATATATTTAAAAATAAAATTAAAGAATATGATAATTGTATTAATATCTGAATTGTGGTAACCATATCAATATACGGTATATAGTATAATTAAATTGGACATCTGTTGGATTTAGAACTGTTGCGTCTAGAATCGCGGTGTGTTACTTCGCTTGAAATTATTCCATCTTTCGTCTGTACTATTTTTAATTGTTACGGGATATTTTATAGGCTTTTAAGACTAAAAATGTTAAATCCGCTGGTGGTGCCAAGGGAGCGCCAATTAATTCAGACATTAACAATAAATTTTTCGTCAAGGTACCGTGTCGAATCGCATTGCATGGGCTATTATTTGATTGACAGTGTTTTTTTCCGAATTAGAGGTAGCTTTTTGCATGGATAACGCGAACACGACGAATTACTCTTTAATTACTCTAATCAACGAACTTAAAAACTTGTCCGGCCAATATCCATCCGTGCGTCTTCTTGTTTTTTGTTTCGAAATTTCTTTTACATAACATTTAATAAATGGTCGAAGATTGGTATCGACAAATATATGTACTCGCTAAATCTATAACATCCTTTAATATCTTTAATCAATAAAATGTGAATTTGATGCTGATGAATTGCCATCGGTGAATTTAGATAGTTGCTAATATAATCTTTGAAGTTGTATCAACATCCTTAGGCTCGATTAAATTCGAAATTTGATACCGGCGAATTTACATATTTGCCACAGCCGAATCCTTGAAATGGATTAAGATCCCTGCAAACCAATAGAATTTGAAACTCGGTGTCAATAAATCGATACTTGGCAAACTTAAGTCCTTCAAGTTCTAGTATCTTTGGAGTCTTTGAGGACTGGGCTTGCTTTGATCACTTTACTCAGATATTGAATAACACTGATTGTAGCGAGGTGGCGAGCAAGACGGGCAAAATAATAAAGACGGCGAAGAGGAAATATATAGATCGAATAATACTAGCGAGTCCAACACTGTTGGCAGCTTTACTACTACTACTGAACGTACGGGCGTTCAGAATACCAGGACGTCGGAAAAGTCCGACGTTAATAAGGAGAATAAGATAAATACTAACACACAGACAGGACAGGTATCGCAAACATATTAACATGCATCGCAATCGATGGGTCTAGAGAAAAAAAACTTGATAAGTCCAGCTTCTTAATTTCTGTATTGTATGGCATTCTGCATGCCATTGATTCTATAATAATTGAAGTCTTCCTTTTACTAATTCCTCAAGATTAATATAATATAAATAATAAGCTTATCGAAAGAGAGAAAATATATTTTAGTCAAAAAGACTTTATAAAAGTTAACTACCGGAAAAAAATCACTATTCGTAATGAATAAAACGCATTTTATAATCAAGTATATCGAAATATTTAAGTAAACTTATCATTTTAAGTGAATTGTATTAAATAATAAAATTCCAAAATTTAGACGCATAGAAAAATTCGAAAATGTGACTTGTCCAGTTCTTTTCCTGGGTCTCTCAATTATTTTCATTTTGCCAGAAAATTAGCGCACCTAAGTTCTAGGGAGATGAATAAATTAGTTTAATGTTTATCAAGTACTCATACAAGAATAGAGTTAAAGAATATTAACAAGAGATTTTTTAACACTTATCTAATTCAGTTTCAATTTTTTATAAGATTGCATAACATTATTTTCTTTTGCATTGAGATTGTAATCTGCTGTAGATTAGTCAATTAATGCTTATGAATGATGCTTAATTGTTAGTAACATTTTCAATTAAGCGGTAAGTTTTAAATAACATGTTTTGTACTTGAGAAGTGAAAGAAAATTTAAGAAGAATTATATAAATCCAAGAAGTTACTTCTTCTGGGGATGCTCAATTACCATTTTACGTAAATATAATTACATACACATAAATATGCTGACATTTCGGGTTTGTTGTCTCGGTGCTTCTCAAGTGCAGAATTATAATCTTGCATGAAGGCTTGTCATGTTCGATTGCATGCATATATTTTAATTACGGTAAATCTACAAGTAATGGAACTTTTGGAAAATTTTTATTAAGAAAGATTTAACAAGCTAGTTAATTATTTAGCAAGTACTAAAAGCAGATCTCATTGATGAGTGACTCTTTTATATATTAATTCCAAAAGCCTTGATTTTTTTTTGCATTTTTGAATACGCTGAATTTTTTACTCTTACTCGTTCGCGGAAGTTAAGAGATGTAGAGTGCTATTAGTTTAAGTTTAGCAAGTACAGAGAGAGAGAGAGAGAGAGAGAGAGAGAGAGAGAGAGAGAGAGAGAGAGAGAGAGAGAGAGAGAGAGAGAGAGAGACATTTGCAGGATTGTAGGTTTGAAATTTAATAGGTTTTAAAAATTGTGTTTATCTCCTGTTACAACAATCTTTCTGTTTCAGCCTGAATTTTCCGGCCTCGCGAAAACTTACACGGACAACTATCCTGTTATCTTCAACATAATGCTATGGTTCGGCGTTGTTTTTGTCTTTTCACTCTTAGCCATTTGTAGTACGTATTTTTTTAAATACAGGATTATATTTAACGTTAACTAAATTATTCTAAAAGAAATTTCCAAAAATACTTTGATTATAATTATTAAAAATCAGAAATCTTTAAAATTTCTTTATTTTGAGTGGCCTCTATTAATTTGATTGATTTTATTTAAAGGAATTTTATTAATTTATATATTTTTTAATATAGTATATTTATTTATAATTTACTGATTTATATAATTATATAAGTTACAAGTTATGTAATTTATATTTATCTTCATAATTTTATGTATGTATATAACACACACACACACACGCGCACGCACACACATATATATATTACAAATACAAGGATTTACAAATTGCTGATCAGTTTTTGGACAATTATGTTTAATCAGTAAAAATATTTGAGAAAACTAAAAGAACATGATAGTAAAATTTTGATATTTTTTTAGTCGCTATCGCTGATATGGATCCAGGACGGGACTCTATCATTTATAGGATGACGTCGAATCGAATGAAGAAAGACAATTAAGTGTAAATATATAATTATATATAAGTAATATAATTTTGTACATATATTTCTGTGCAAAATGTAGCTTGTTGGAACATCTGTGTAATTTATCAATTTTAATTCGAATGTTCAAGTAGGGTTCTATCACGTATCCTAAAGGCAAGATTAAATTGTTTATATTAAATCTAATTGTAAGCTCATTAAAACTATTAAATAGCAAGGATATACATAATTGTATCACTTTATTGAAACATAAGAAGTGTGATTGTTATATTGTTGTATAATTTCTGTTGTATATTACTTGAAAGCCAAGGCTGCCCTAAATATAATATAAATTAAAATATTTACGTATTTTTTAATTATTAGAAATCTAATATAATTTCATTAATTTCAATGAGCTCAATTTTCAATGCTGTAGACACTGTAGAAAATGCTCATATGTTGCATTTCTATTATATCACAAGAAATGTAAAAAGATCATATTTTGTGTCTGCAGCATTGAAATCAGGTTTCATATTCTTGAATCTACATCACAACGAAAATCTATAATATACATAATATATACACTAGTATTTTCATATGGGATTTTCGAGAATAAGGCCTCTTCGAAATTATAACAATTTTAATCCCCAATTGTATGTATGTGATATTCGATGCTTTTACGCTGAACTGGAAGCAAACACACAATCACATGTGACCACGTGATTAACAGCCAATTTCGTGCTATTCCGTATAGCGTTCGAAATTACTCGTTTTTTGCATTTTTACATTTTAAAAACAGTTTATCTGTACAGATTAACTGCTAAAAATGTTGAATAAAGTGTTAAATCGTGATCATTTTAATTAAAACAGGCGATTTAAATCGATTACTTTTTTTTTTATGCTATTCAATTTTATACGTCACGATTTCGCAATGATGTGATGCATGTGAAGTAGGCGAAATTGCGCATGATTTGACTTTTGAACAGAAACGATAGGCTTTCGCACTATTTTGTGCCGTCAAACGTCCCAGCATAAAGCGTTTCACATCTTACACGTATATTTACGCATCGCAATGCAAATACCTTTGTGTGTAATAAACATTTGCGAAACGCTAAAATTCGGACAAACATCTTGATTAAGATACGCGAATATCTACAGTGTACCAGGGTTTCAGTCGGATAACGGAGGAGGGAGGGGGGGAGGTAAAAATTTATTTTTACACAAAACTTACTAAAACACTATATTTAAGCCAATTTTCGAGGATTTTCAGCAAATTTTTTTAATATTCTTCCAGCTTTTTTTTCATGAAAAAGAACTCGTCGAAAAAGTTTTACGCAAGAAAGTAAGTATAATGTGGAGCAATATATAAAATTAAATTGGAAAATCACGATCACTGTAGTTCATATTAATTAATAGCGCAATTATATATAATTGCTCATGTTCGTTCGATATATTTGCGTCCAAACAATAAGCCTTCAATGACATTAGAGGCTTGTTCTTTGTCGCTACTCTGGATTACAATTTTTTTTTTGCTTTCTCGTCAAATTTCAAATTTCAAATTTTGTCTATTTATTTCATTTTAAGTACAACGAGTGTACACGAGTTTAGCCACAAAAAACAGACCTTACTTTATTTTTTTTTAAATAATTGAACAATTATATTATATGTACACTCTTCTAAAGTGAAATAAGTAATGTTTAACATTTGGCGAAAGTGAGAAGGGAAATTCTAAAAATCATAATAACTCAATTGTGCCACTAATTGTAAGTGACGATATAAGGTCACCGATGTGCATGATTCAGTAGCTCTACTGAATAACAAATTAAAGCTAATAAAAATGTTTCTTCGTCGAAATCTGTATTGTAAACGAATTCATAGTGCTATAAAATCATGTATTTTTGCGACTCGATAATGCTATTCATCAGTGGAACTACTGAATTAAGCACATCGGTAACTGTATGTTCCGTAACTTAAAATTAGTGGTGCAATTGAATTGCCAGCATGATAATATTATGGCTCTAATGCAGTCCAGTGCAGCAATTAAAAACAAACCTATTGTAATCTATGCGAATTACCTTTTTTCTTGTTTCTCAACTGTATTATTTTTTATTTCATCATTTCGTTTCCAATCGTCGAAACTCTTAAGAAATAAGTATATCGCGGTAAACTAGAATTCTTGAAAAAATTAAGAGCCAGTAAAATAGTCTGAATTTTTTTGTTGCTGTCGATGCTTATTGAATGCCGAACTAATTGTAAGTTTAATCATTAATTCTATGCTATTATATGCAGTAAAAGTTCAACTAATATTACTTATTATAAGAAAAAAAGATATGCAGTTGCATTTAATTTTTAAAAATTTTTTTCCAAAGCAACTATGTTTTCTTTACACAAACTGATTCATCCCATTATTCTGTGCATAAAAGTATTAAAGAATAGTTGCTAAAAAATAGTTTAAAAGATATTTTGTATTTCAAGTGCAAATATATCTGAATAAAATGTGTAAAATATCTCTTTGTAATTATTGATTTTTTGATAATTTTACTTTTATATGCAGAATAAGAGAATGGAGGAATACATTTTTTCATCCAGTCAGTTTAGTCCGCTCTACTTGCACACAAGCGCTTTGTCAATAGTTATCAGATATATAGAGAGTGTCCGATAATTATTGACACAGGACTTGTATGCTTGTGTAGAACGGAATAAACTGACAATCGAGTAGAAAACATGTAACATTTTGTAACATTTAAAAATTTTGCAATAATTATAGTAGATAATAAAGTAAGATAATAATAAGATAAAGTAAGATAATAATTAATAAAAATAAGTATGCAGCGTTGAAAAGCGTCCGCGCAAAAACTAGTCTTACATATGCGTTGATCGTTGCTAGGAGCGCGATGAGATGTTTGAAGATTTATCCTACTAACGACGTACAATATTTTACCGCTCCTGCAGCGTAGATTTAATGTTTGTAGAGCACACTTGAAAATATCTCGCCACATTCCAAGCAAGCGAAACACGTATAAAGCTGGGCTTCTTTTCACTCGAATGCACGTTTTTTTTTATAATTTAATAAAGGATTTTGTATATTTTTATTAATTGTTATCTCATTAATTATTACGAAAATCGCAAAACAGCACAAATTTTTTTTCTACTCTAGCTTGTTCGAGCTGCACACAAGCCTGTTTTTATAATTATTAGACACTCCATTGTGTATATTACATTGTTAGTATAATACATTGTATATTACATTGTTAGTATAATATATTGTATATTACATTGTTAGTATAATACATACATATAGATTTGATCACGAGCGCAAAATTTAAGCTACCAAAAATGTGACTGCCTATATTAGTGCCTTGATATTCGTAGATCATTAAATAATTATATATTTTAAATAAATTTAAGAGCGCCTTCTATATAATCACGGTTGGATCACTCTCGATGCCAAATAATAATAATAATTTATTGTATGAAATTTTAAATTCATTATTCAGCCATTTAAACTGCGCGCCGAATTAATGTCGCAATCATTCGCTGAAGACGAAATAATGATATCATAATTGATCTTAAAATTTAATAATCCGATGCAAATAAACATCTTAAAATATTGCAAAGGACTTTTTGCGAAAAATAATTATTTTAATTGTAAAATTAAAGAAAAATTTTACATAAAAATTTAGATTTTTGATGTTAATAATTGAAATAATAGATAATAGGAGGGTATGTTAACGTTTATCTGCACTTTTTATTATATAATATTGTTTAGGTTGGCTATATTGCTTTTCGTGATTACATATCTTGCACACAAACGCTTATGCCGTATATTCATATTAGTTCATATCAGTTAAAGTTTCGATCTTGCTCACTTATTGTTAGTCAATTTTCGTATTTTCGCCCCGAGGATTGATTCACTTTTTATGGGCTAAAATATACCAGAGATTGAAATTCATAGGTTTTTAACACAATATGCAACGTCTATAAATAAGGTGCCTTTTCATACGCAGCACGCAGCAGCAGCAAAATGTCATGTGATTCAAGTTTTTCAGAATCATTTCCACCGCATTTGTTGCGCATGAAAAGGAATTTTGCAGCAACATATTGAAGTTTAATCTTAATTTATAATATAATATAAATATATAAGTATAAATATAAATAACAATATATTTATTGTATAATTGCATTTTAACG